CAGGTGCACAAGCAATCCAGCTCCACTCAGTGGCACTATTTGCACAAGTGTTTGCTCAGATGTATAGGATGTCAGGTTCACAAGCACTGAGGCTGCCAAGGTGTGAGGTCCCACCAGGCCTTTGTTGTGCATGGGATGGGGGAGACGGCAGGGCTTTCCTAGGAGATAAATAACAAAATTTCCATATGGCAATTGCAGGATTAAATAACTATAGGAGGAGGAGAGCTGTAATGTTATGGGAAATTTTTTCTGTTAAATCAAACCTCTTTTGTTGGTGATGCCCGTAACCAGCTTTGTGGTGTGGCTTTGCAGCTGTGGAGCTGCACCCTGGGTGTGCATCAGCACTGCAGGATGACACCTTGTGAGTGCACTGGCATGGCTCCAGCTCGTCCATCTTGTGGGTGTACAACCTGGCTTCAGCTCGTACATCAGAGAGGACCTCCAGCTGTCCTAGAGACAAATGTTCTAACAGTGGAGAGGAGCTCGTTCACTCCTCAAAGAAACCCCAGAAGTGGCTGGTTGGTGATAAAGGTGCTAATCTCTCTGCTGCTGAGTGTTTTAGGAAGAGCAGCACTGACAGGCCAATGAGAGGGCTCAGCTCCTTCCGTCTTGCTGCTTCTATTCCCCAGAGCCAGTGCAAATTTGGTGCTGGGCCCGCAGGGACTGGCCAGCTGTATCCTGCGTGCAGACAGGTGCTGCTGAGAGGGGTGTGGTGTGATGAGGTCTCACCTCAGGGAGCCAGGGAGATGCAGCCTGGTCTGTGATACTGTGCATGTGGTGAAGGCAACCTGCCAAGAGTCAGGGACCTTGCTTTTGCTGCTGACTGGGCTAAGTGCAGCTGGGACCAAGATGCAGCAGAGTCCAAATGGTCCTTGTCTCCAAGAAGTGCCAGGGGACTCTGCAGGAGCAAAGGGCAGGAGGGAGGCCAGGCTGGGGGCAAATGGGATGCCCCCAGGCTGGCCGTGCATTGAAGTCGCAGGTGGGACATCACCACTGGCCACCCAGTGCTAGCCACAGGTGTGGTGAGCCCTGGTCAGCCCTGTGCTTGTGGGGTGTGTGGGTGTGCTGGCAGTGCCCAGTCAGGACCATCCCCAGTACAGTCTGCTACGTACTGGCAGCGTGTACAGCTTCTGCTGCACATGAGAGCTGGAGCCAGATGGCCACCAAACCACTGATGTCCCTGCTTTGTCCAAGCACTGATCAGAGGGCAGGGGGCTTGAGCCATTTGGGTTCCTCGTGTCCTCACACCATCCTGACTGCAAAATTGGTAAAATACATGTAAAAACAGAATGCAAAGGTGGGAGTGTTCAGCAGCACTCCCCAGACTTTTCCCAAGCCCAGAGGCAGGACAACGTGCTGTCATCAGCAGATGTGAGTCTATGTGTCTCCAGAAGGAGCTGAGCTGGTCCAAGTATATCTAACAGGTCAAGGCTTGAAATGAAGAAGCAATAAGCCACTGAAATGGTACTATCACCGAAACATGATTGATCAATTGAATTCTATCAGAGACAGTGGGCAGTGAGATTAACTCAGGCCTGATGGGTTCAATGAGTTAAAGCATGATGTTCATTTCAGCTTCATTTCACCAGTCTTTGCTTGTGAAATTGGTCAATCAATAGAGGTTGAAGATCATATATATATATATTGGTGACCACCTTATAGGGAATATAATCTAGCGTAGTCAGCTCCTGACTCTGGCTGCCTTCAATGGGTAATGGAGACAGAGAAGAGACTCTATCAGTGCCACCGAAATGGCCTGATATCTTCTCCAAATGAAAAGTATTTTTGGATCTCTGATGATTTATCTTTTTTCCCCCCTCTTTCTCACTTTGATCTATGGTAAAACCTATACCCATCTTTGTGAAATGTAATGATTTCTTTAGAAAATATTTGCACAGTGATCAGCTAGATACACTTCAAAATATAAAGCTTTTTAGTGATACTGTTCTTTAAAAAAACCCAGTGCTTAGAAAACTCAAATAGTGTAAATACAAAGATCTCTTACCACATACGCAGTCCTAAAACTAATGCTTTGCTGGGAAGAGCATGAGGCAGCTGTCTGTCAAATGCACACAATCCTGAGAAGGTGGTAAGAAAATTCAGCTTACTTTTTAAACAAAACCTTCCATATTGTAATTAAACAGAGTCTTTATCTTCTCTGGACTAACTTACAGGCATGCTATGGAAACAAATCACCTTTTTGCCTCCTGGTAATATTTCATTTGCTTCATAATGTTTTAAATGTGGTGAATAACATCCTCCCTTAATTAGCCTGCATTTCCCTATAAGGTGGTGTAATTAGGTATGATAACAGGTAATGAAGTTGGACAGTACAAATTAGAGACAGAAATCATGTCCTTTATGAATGTGAGCTGTTCATGGCACTAGCTATTCACTTCATGATTCACCCTGTAAAACCATCTTGATCCAAAAAAACCCCTAAACCCAACCTGAAAATCAGTAGATTCCTTTTGACTTCAGACAGATCTACCATGGAGATGTACACTTCATGGCACATCTTTATTATTAATAACACTGGAAATATTATTCCAGCTGGATTTGGGGACGGCATCCATTTCTCAGCTGTTGTTGCCTCACTGAGACTTTCAAGTGGACCTGCACCAGGGCAGGGTCTGTCTCACACTATAACACAGTACTTAAATAGAATCATAGAATCATAAACCAGTTTGGACTGGAAGGAACCTTAAAGATCATTTTGTTCCAACTCCCTGCCATGGGATTTCTATATTTTGTCTTGTTTTAATACTAAGCCTTAGGGGTTTTAAACATGCTCTAATGTTTTGTGAAGATATGGTCAAGGGTCTTTTTTTCTTCCTATTTTGGTCCTTAGTCTTAAAAACAGTATTTTAAATCAAGTGAGTTGTATAGTGAGTATCACCAAAATTCTTGTTTAGCCACATTTAGGAATTTCAAATATTCTCCTGCTGTTCCAGAAAGCGTGTCACGGATGAGTATTTAACCCTAGAAGTGTGTTAAAAAAATGTAACACATCCAGACCTGCCATAATGGCCCAAGGAGAGCTCACACCTCCCCTCCTCCAGCACTAGGCTTCAGCACCTGTCCCACCTGCTCCAGCAGCCACCCAGCCAGTCTGATCCAAGTCCCTCCTGAGCATCCCACCCTGCTCAGGACACTGATTCAGTTTCCCACAAGTGCACACCTGTGGGATGGCTGCTCCATTTTCAAACACGATGAGATCTCATTATACACCTGAACTCTGGGTGTACAAACAGTGCACAGACTGTACCGGCATCACCAAGAACATTTTCCAGGTCATGTCATGTCTTGTATCATTTCACTCCCTTTCATCATGCCCTTTATCATAAAAGTGCATAAAGCTTTAACTTTGATGCCAAACTCTGAATAAACCTATCCTTGCACTTCACAAAAGCCATCATCATCTAGTCTCGATAAAATTGCATGACTTTCTCTAAACAGTTAAACATGAAGTTGTCACCAAAACCGCTGATCTGAAATAGAGAAGGAAGTTTCCAGCATTAATTGCTTAATCTAATGCCTGTTCAGCATAAGCACTATTCTGCTTCAGTTCAGTGTTAGAAACCGAGTTTGAAAACTGTATTTTCCTGTGTTGGTCCCCCAGTCTGACAGTTCTGCCTTATAGCAGTCCAGTTCTCTGGATAGACAGGATATTCTGCAAAATCCATTTGTGCTGAAGGATGATCTCAAAACAATAGTCCCTTGTAAAAATTTTGTCCAATGTGCATCACCCATGTTACTGATGGCTGGTACGTGTTTGTGGACAAAACTGATGTCTACAGCAGCAGGGTGTTTTTGCACAGATCACTTCTGTCAGATCACCTTTATACTTGCCATCAAAAAACTTGATGTAGCATCTGCCAGAGGAGATCTGGGTCATGTTATTCCTCTGCAGACTTATTGGACTGTAAGCCACTGCAGCATTCATGGAAATCTTGCCATTAAAGATGCATTTGAATTCTACTCCTCAAAACTATTCTGGCAGAAAGATTCTGTTTTTAAAACATTTCCTCCTTCTGTCTAGTCTGATGTTGCCATCTGGAGAAGAAATCTGATATTTACTGTTGTTCTTGGAGTTCCACCTCCTGGAGTTCTGGGAATACTGCAGACCTCAGCTTTTAGTTGCATAAAAGATACATTTCCAGTACTGACAGGTGAAGGAAAAGTAGGAAACCACTGTGAATCTGCAAAAAGCAAATTGAAACAAGCCCCTGTATTGCAAAAGTCTTTTCAGACTGCCAACCTAAACATTTTTCAAACTTGTCTTGTGGCTTTTCAGCCATGGGCTGTCACTTAAGACTTCTGCTGAAACTCTCTGCCAAAGGGAAAAGGTAGGGAAACGTGCCTTGGAGCCCAGGCTTGCAACCTGCCGGTAAACCCAGGAAATACTGAGTGAATTGGAGTGTCAGAACAGTGCCTTGGATCAGGCCTTTTTGAGGGTGTTGCAGTGGTAACTCAGCCCAGGGATGTCCCACTTCTGTACAATGCAGGCTGCGTTTTGGGAATACCTGAGCAGTGCTGCTGGTGATGCTTCACAGAGAGTCTGTGTTTCCCAGCATGGGTACTCCCATAGCTCAGAGCTCAGCACAGGATGGAGCTGAGCAGGATTTGCAGATAGCACAGAAAGGGGACAGAGTGTATGGGTGCTAACTGAAGTTTACCGTGACTGTCATTATCCTCCTGTGTCCTCCTGCATGCAAACCATGAACCAGATAGGTTTTCAGGTAGTGCAGTAAAAGTGATGAAGGAAGAAATGGGACCATTATCCTTTGCCCTGCCTTTAAATTATATGTGAAATCGTTGGTGGGTTGAGGGTTGGCTGTCCAGTGCGTTTTCCAGTGATATGTAACCTCTCTAAAGGTCTTCATGACATCACCATAGTAGTACCCACGTCTATTCAAGGGACGAAATGAGACACTGTTCTATAGGCCTCATCACTGACATGACTACTTACTCTTCCTCTTCTCTCTCATCTTTGAAAGGTATTCAGGAATCTCCAGTGCCAAATGGCCATTCTCTCCCAAGCAGAGATTTTCTTCGGAAACAGATGCGAGGAGACCTTTTCACCCAGCAGCAGCTGGAAGTGTTGGATCGTGTCTTCGAGAGGCAACATTATTCCGACATTTTCACAACAACTGAGCCCATCAAACCAGAGCAGGTACTATTGCAAGTATTTCATGTTTTCCTGATATGCTTCCTGCTGGCAGAGGTCTGTTTGGTGGACATCACCAAAGGCTGCTCAGAGTTTCAGTAGACAACCACAGAAAAACAGGTGTGTTGTCAAGCTCATCTCAGCCAAGTGCATGTTAACCATGGAAGTCTATTAAAAAATAAAGGAAACACTCATTCAGCAAACATTAGCAAATGTTTGGGTATGAAATTATGCCTGATCTGGACCGGTTGCATCAAATGAGCCTTTAAAGAGCATCACAGCTTCTAATGTTTTTGTTAGATCAAAAGCAGGCATTGCAGATAAAAAGAGGAAGACTTGCAAAACCCAGTGCCTAATTTTGGTTCCTAGTTATCATGACTGTGGGCACAAATCAGATTTTCGTATCCAGAAATGGCTTATTAGGTGTGTAACTGGCCATTTGCTGAGAGAAACACCCATTAGCATGTGAAGGTAAATTAGTTGCACCTACAGATCAGCAGTGTGTTTGAGGAGGACTTGGCACTAATATTCTGGGAAAGTTCCATTTTTGCAGGTACGATGCAGAAGCACACGCAAAAACTGATGAGCCACATCTCTCTGTGTTCTTCTTGGGTAGCAGTATTTAATTCAGCTGCTGAGAAGGAGGTAGAAATTAATATACTGCTGTCAGCACTGGTATTGGTCTAGCTTGCTACTCAATGATGTATTCAGCTTTTTGTCTTCAGGGTTCTTAATAACAGATGTGCTTTTTAGCAAGGGGGATGGACTCCTCTAACTGCAGCCAAACACTGATTCCCTTTGGAGGAATCTGTACTTTTGAGGGCCACTGGAGATTCTCTCATGGCAGATTACTACCATCATGGATCCACTCAAGGAATGTGTATTAGCATACATTTAAAAAAAAAATTACTTACGCTGAAAGTCCTATGGTAGAGTAGAAATTCCTCATGCCTTTAGGCTCACATTTGTTATTTCATTCATAGAGACACTTGCTTTTCACCAGCTTCTGCTGGTTTTCTGGCTTCCCTGATTCACACATGCTGAGAAACTCTGCAGATCTGAACTTGAGTTGAAAAAAGATGGGAAGCCAAGCCATCATTGTCTCTGGAAGGTGAAGTGGCCTTCATGTACCACTAGATGGTGGTTATCCCATCCAAACACGGGTGATAGTGGAGAGGACAGGCACTGTGCCCACACCTGTGGCAAGCCTTTTCAGCATTGGTCACCTAGGAACTGTGTGGTATTAGATCTGTCCCTGCAAAACTTTTACGGGCCCAAATAGTCATTGCACAGAGAGCAAGGATGGGAGAGGACTGTGTATTTTTTTCTGTGTTCTGGATCCCCTGAGTCATGGACAGCTGTAGCTCATGGGAGACAGTCCAGCAGCGAGTGAACATTTATCCAGATATAAACTTTTCCTTTTTTTATAGGAAGAATGGGAGATTTGAATAAGGATGTTGCTGAAGTGTTATCTCATTTATCAAATTTGGGATGTATGACTGTTGGTGGAGCAAGGATCTTCCCAGGCCCATGTAAGGAGCTGTGACTAGAACAGCTCTGAGCAACCGGATTATTAAAATTGGAGATATGCTGCTATCAGTTTGGTGAACAGGGGACTCTCTGAATGCTCTGGGAAGTCAAATAAGATGCTAAGAAATGTGACACTATGAGATTCAAAAGATACTTTGCAGAAGCATCTTGCTTAGGCATTTTTGCATTTGATTACAAGAGAAATTTGTAGTTGTTTGCTTTCATATAGCTTGGAGCATGGTCATTTGCTTTTGGAAGGCTGGACCATGGTCAAGGGCTTGTGGTTCTTTGGGGTCAACTTCTGCTTTCTGATGGTGTGTGAACTGTAACTTTCAATGTGAGCAGATGTGTAAGACTTGCTGTGTTTCACAGGGTCACGGCTATGAACCCTAGCCGTTACCAAAACAGTCATGTCTTACCTCCTTGGTAAGTCAAGCAAAGCTGTCATGATGCTTAACCAAAGCAGAGAAGCTGTCTGCATCAATTAGTAAGGCTGAAGAAATCAATGAGAAAGAAAATACTGAGAACATTAATGATGTGCCTTGGAAAACCACAGTTGTCCTTGCAATAGATTGCTGTAGTAAAGCAAGGTCTGCCTGTGACATCAAGCTGTCCAGAGTTCTGCTGGACTCCAAAGTGATGCTGTAGGAGCTAAATCAGTGGTGGATGTATGGAGCCCTGAGCTATTTCCGTAGAGGAAAATATGGAAAAGATGCTCCTCCCCATAGAGACAGAATGTGGGGAGAAGACTGGTAGGAGCTGCTGACCCACTGTTTGTCCATTTTATTAGAAATTTGATCCAGTAGCAGCCATCTGAATATCAATAATTTTGCACAAAAACTTGTTGATGTCCCAGTGCTGTTCACCTGAGGAGGGCTCCAGGTATTTTACTGGAAGAAGTTAGTCTCTAGACAAGGTAGTTCCCTTTTTCTTCCTGATTTTGCCTCCTCTCCAAGTCTTCCTCCTCATTTGTGTGCTGGGGGAAGGCCCTTGGCCATGGTCAAGAGGAAGAGGTCCCTCCTGCACAGCACAATGTTTGCAGTCTCATCATGCTTGGTGTCCAGCTGCGGACTTGCCTCTGCTGCCCAAAGTCCTCCTTTCGAGAAAAATTTCTGGACAAAATTTGTCCTTGCCTTTTGGAAAATGACTGTTCTTCCTCATGTATAGGTAGATGGACTGATGTCTGTGTGGGAGTGCTTGCTCACAGCTTCCAAACCCTTTGTTTTGAGTACTTCCTTCACTTTACTATCTTTACGTTTCCCTTAGCTCATTTGTATAAAATGGAAGCTCTTGAGTTATTTCTCACCTCAAGACATGTTGTGCTTTCCATAAACATCGTAAGAGTTTTCACGTCTGCTGTAAGCTGTGCTATCTGTGGAGAGACCCACAGGGAATGGATACTTGTCTTTGGGGAAGGGCTCATACCATGTTGAGAGAGAAGGCAACCCCTGGACAGTGACAGGAAAATAAAGCATTAGACAGTTCTTGGACAGAAATGGTGACAACTGTGTGTGCTGGGTGAGGTGGGGATCCTATGGTGTGTTCCTACGATTAAAAACTCCATCGTATGGTGTGCGTTGGGGGGCAGAAGTGAGACATCCCCTGTTACCTGCCTTACTTTGCAGCCTGACAGCCAGTGGTGCAGTCGGGCACATGTAGGTGTGTGCTCTGCAGCACTGCATGTGTGGATCATAAGAAACATCTGACAGCAGGGGAATTCCAGCAGCTTGGAGCTGGAGAATTAAGGTCTTCTGTGCAAACAGCATCAAGTCCTTTCATGTCCATATACTGTGGGGAGAAAACACAGCATAAAGTCAGTACTCTAGAATTACCCTGACCCACTTCCCCCGGCAGAGTCTTGCTATAAATATGAATTCTTATGTAGAATGAATGGCTTTCCCTCACATTTGTGCCTTTTTGTACTCATTTTTTGCAAACAGCCTGTGATCAATTTGCACTGGCTGCATATGTTCATGGAAAACTAATTTCACGTGTTTCTGGGCACTGGTCTGGAAATGCACATAGTGGTGTGTTTGCAATGTCAGTGTTGCACTGCCATTCTGTACATGGCTGCTGCCCACCACTTCCACACAGCTCTTCCATCAGCCGGGATGAAGCCCACAACTTGAATTCAATGTAATTTTCAGGTCCTGGAGAAGGAGAACCTTCACAGCATCTGCCTCTGGGCTGGCAGCAGCTCCCGTTCTCGCTGTGCTTCTCTGTGTGTGTGTATGTTTGTGTATGGGCCTTACTGATCCTCAGTGTGTCAGCTCTGTGGTGAAGTCCCCTTGCCCACAGGGAAGGCTGTTGTGTTGCTGGCACAGGCTGCACCCCAGTTGTCCTTGGAGCAAACCATACTGACACAAAGAGTGGCTTTTCCCTGCCGGCCCTGGAGTTGTGCTGTGCATCTACACCAGTGGCAGACTGACACACTCCAGCCTGGCCCCTGCCGCAGGCAAAACCCCACCATTCCTGGTCACTGCAGTGACAATTCAGATTTTATTCAGAACAGGCACACATCCTGTGCACAGAGCTGCAACATTGAGTTGCAAAATTTTCCAATGCCTATAGTTCATTAAGAGCTGGAGGAACTAGAGGCACTGGCTGTACTCTGCAAACCCCTGAGCCTGGCTGTGAGGGTGATTGTCCTCCAATGGCTTCCTTCGATTCCAGCCAGAAGGATGGAAAAGCTCTTCCCAGCATCCCTGAGAAGCTGCCCTGGACTGGCTGAGCCTGTAGCATCCATTGTGTGTACTGTTTACATTCCCCAGGCAAAGCACAGACAGGAGATGTTCTTGGAGACCAAGGCCCAGGAAAGTCAAGGAGAGACAGGGGCTTCAGGCATGAGAGGCTGGACAGGTTCAGGAAAGCCCCATCAAGGTGGGAAGGGGGCTTGTGGATGAATGTGCTTGTGGCAGCTGTGAGAGTGGCATTAACACCTCTACAGGAGAAAAATACAGGGTGACGGATATACAGCCAGATTGGCTCAACTGAGAGTCAGTGCATTAATTTCCTCAGAATAAAGAAGAGAATTATTCATTCAAGAGAATTATTATTTCTGTCCACAACACAAATGGACTCTTGTACTTCAGCTTCACACATGGTCCAGTTGAATACTTATTGCAGCCAAGAGGAATATTTATATTGACTTCAACAAACTTTAGAACAGGGCCATAACGAGACATAACATAATGTGACCAAATTCAACACTATGTAGGTCACCTGACATAGAAGAGAACTTCTTGCTGCTAATGGCAGATAATTCCCAGGCCCTTCCTAGGGCTTTAGCACTAGCTTTTTTAGTTTGCTTTTAGCTAGAACCAAACCGAATATCTTTTTTTCAGATAAATTTCTGTATAAAATGTAAATATGTTGGGCTCTGGCAGAAACCAGTAACCTGGCAAACATATGTGTTTGTGATATGGAATGCAAGTAAACATGGGTCTAGGGATAAGCATAGGCAGATGGAATTTGGA